GGGACCGTCACATTTATGACGAACGGACTCTCAAGTCCGTCGTCCTCAGATCACGAACAACTCCTCAGCCTCTCTGTGATCCTATTTCTCAAAGCTTGCTTCCTCAGCGCCGAGAGCCTTGAGCTCATATGACGATCGGCTTCATCAACGCCTCATCATCATATTATAGGACCGACTCCTCATCGACGTGCGTCCTTAGATCACGAACGACCCCTGGGTCTAAACGTGATCCTTTCTCTCAAGACGGGCCTCCTCAGCGCCGAGCGTCTTGAGCTAGTGATCGGGCTCTCCATCTCTTACAAGGTGGGAACCGTCGCCTTTACGATGAACGACCTCTCAAGTCTGTCATCCTCAGATCATGAACGGCTCCTCAGCCTCAGTGTGATCCTATATCTCAAGGCCGGCTTCCTCAGCGCCGAGAGCCTTGAGCTCATATGACGATCGACTTCGTTAACGCCTCGTCATCATATTATAGGACCGGCTCCTCATCGCCGTACGTCCTCAGATCACGAACGATCCCTCGGTCTCAACGTGATCCTTTCTCTCAAGACCAGCCTACTCAGCGTCGACCGCCTTGAGCTAGTGATCAGGCTCTCCATCCCTTGTAGGGTGGGAACCGTTGCCTTTATGACGAACGGCCTCTCAAGTCCATCGTCCTCAGATCACGAACGGCTCGTCAGCCTCAGCGTGATCCTATATCTCAAGGTCGACAACCTCAGCGCCGAGAGCCTTGAGCTTATATGACGAACGGCTTCATCATAGTCTCGTCATCATATTGAAAGACCGGCTCCTCATCGCCATGCGTCATCGGATCACGAACGGCCCCTCGGCCTCAACGCGATCCTCTATCTCAAGACCGGTTTCCTTAGCGCCGAGAGTCTTGAGCTTATATGACGAACAACTTCATCATCGTCTCGTCATCATATTATAGGACCGGCTCCTCATCGCTGCACGTCCTCAGATCACGAATGGCCCCTTAGCCTCATCGTGATTCTATATCTGTAGACCGGCTTCCTCAGCACCGAGAGTCTTGAGCTTATATGACGATCGGCTTCATCATCGCCTCAACATCATATTATAGGACCGACTCCTCATCGCCGAACGTCCTCAGATCACGGCAGACCCCTCGGTCTCAACATGATCATCATACTCTGAAGACCGGACTCATCCTGTCACTTGATGCATGAGGACCGCTGCTCGGACTTTATAACTGCCTTTCAATTCCGTCGTCCTCAGATCACAAATGGATCCTCAGCCTCAGCGTGATCCTTTGTCTCAAGACTGGCTTCCTCAGCGCCAAATGTCTTGAGCCAGCGATCGGGCTCGCCATCCTTTCCTCGGTGGTGACCATTGCCTCTATATGACGATCGGCTTCATCAAAGCCTCGTCCTCAGGTCACGAACGACCCCTCGGTCTCCGCATGATTCCGTATCTCAAGATTGGTCTTAGCCATTTCTTTACCGGATGGCGACCGTTGCATGAATTTTTGAAACCAGCTCCTCAGTGCTGTCGTCCTCGTATCACGATCGGCCCCTCGGCCTTATGTGTGATTATTTATCTCAGCACCGGCTCCCAACGCCGAAGTATTGTCATCGCGACCGGGCTCGCTGATCCCCTCCTGGATAGCGACCGTCGCCTTCATATGACGCACGGCTCATCACCACCGCCTCGTCCTCATATTCAGACAGATGTCCACCACCTCGTCCTCGTGTTCAGACAGGCCTCCATAGTCTCGTCCTCATATTCAGATCGTCTCATCGCCTCGTCCTCATCATCAGATGAACGTCCCCTCAGCAGACGGACACCGCTCCACTCCATTCACATCGTATCGGCCCCTTAGAGCGAAACGCTCAGGTATGGCCGACGATGTCCTAGGCCGAAGGGTTCACCCCTTTTACTTCATTTTGGGGGCATCCGGTGTACTCTTTTCCCCCTCATTAGGATGTTTTCCCACACGGTTTTTTCGAATGAGGTTTTTAACGAGGTACCTCCCCATTGTGGACAAAAAGGTGTCGACCCTTGACCCCCTATTGAAGACCTACTCCTCTTCACCTCATGTGCTTCAAGGACTGGGGGAATGGGGCCTGCATTGTCCTCCACACATTAGGAGATGCCTTCGGCAACAACACATTGTCCTCAACACAAGAGACGTTCCTTGTCCACAAGAACGAGGAATCCATAACAGCTCAGGAAGAAGCAACAAGCATCAACCATTATACAAAACCCATGGCTGATAACCCCTGGCCCGTGACCTTTGTCTGAGGGTTCTCCCATAGGGTTACCTTGGCCAGCGATCACCAAGGGGTTGGATTTCATGAGGGGCACTAGTGGTTCCGCTTCGGCCTAGCTCCTATCTTACTCCTTCACACCTACCAATGTCTTCAGTATGAAGGAGTGGGGGATTGGGGGACTACATCAGCTTCAATGCATTTCAAACCCCCAGAGAATGAACAAAGTTTAATCAAAATGCATCATTGCAACAATCCACACATGGTGTGAATCACCTCCGGCCTAAAACCAGAAGAGGTAAGCTCACCAACATAATGACACTTCGTCATTTACGACGAGTGCGAAGCAAGAGGACCTGCATCGTCCTCAACGACCCAGAAGGCAAAGACAACACCTCGTCATTTTTCAAGTTAATGAAACCTTGGAACACGTATCGGCTCAGATCCACAACATATCACCGGCCATAGCACGCGTGACGTCCCCAGGATCACACTCATCATCCTCAAGCATGAGGGCACACACGTCCTCAAGGTGAGGACCTACATCGTCCACAACATAAAAGCAGAGGCCCCACAACGGCCAGGCAAAAAGAATAGCCACGACAGCGCCACAACGGCCAAAGGACATTAAGACAAGAATCCACGAATGGTTCTACCTCGGCCTGAGATACCAAAACCAAATTGTGGTGCCTCCCTCGGCGGACTCCTAATGGAGTATATGGCCCAGGAACCCCGACCCACATACTTCCACTACTGCAATTAGGCCCAAGTGGCCCAAACACAGCAAACAAGACTCCGGACAGCCCATACTACAACAAGGTGTTGCCTTCCGACACATACCCGAAGGCCCAGGGGATGTACGTCCTTCGGTACATGAAGTCCCCAAGGGACATACGTCCTTCGGTACATGAAGGCCCCAGGGACGTACGTCTTTCAACACATTAAAGTCCTCTGGGGTACGTACGGCCTTTAGCACATGGCGGTATCCAGCTACATATGGCCTTTAGCACATGGCGGTATCCAACTACGTACGGCCTTTAGCACATGGCGGTATCCAGCTATACGTACGGCCTTTAGCACATGGCGGTATCTAGCTACGTACGGCCTTTGGCACATGGCGGTATCCAACTACGTACGTCCTCCAGCACATGAAGGCCTCAGGGGACGTACGTCCTTCAGCACATTAAAGTCCTCCGGGGTACGTACGGCCTTCGGCCCATGAAGGCCCCCGGGGTACATACGGCCTCCGACACTACCCCGACAAGATCTCCTCTCTGCATGCGCTGAATCACCGCATTGAATGCATCGTCACATCCAAACCACCGCATTGAATGCGGCCACATGCTATGTCGGCGCCACCCGGGCTGAGTTGACTCTCCATCGCTGGTTACTTGCCACGTGTACCCTTACTTATTGCACCTAGCATCTATGGTTGCTATAAATAGCAAGCCACTTCTTCATTGTAAAGGATCCCGATCCAATCCCAGATCTGAATAACAGCTTCATTGAATAAATACTCCCTCTCTTACTTGTTCTGACATCTCTCTAGATACCCCCAGTGGTATCCCCGGATATACTATCCGTCACACTTTATACAACACAAGTAACACTAGTTGTTTGTCATCAACAAAAGAATAAGTTCCAACATGTTTCTTTTCGACATTTGACACTTTTTACCTCATTGCCTTTCTGGTGAACAATTCCAATCCGTGTTTATTCACTTTTCCCAAAACTCTTGTTACGCTAAATCATGAGAACTTCCGGCTGCATGCTTTTAATATCGAAAAGTCTATTGTTACAGACTTTCTATACACACACATACACACTATAAATACCCCCAAAAATAATTTACACCCTTCCCCCCTCAACCGATTTCAAAACACTTCAAAAAAACACCCGCTCCAAAATTTTCCCACTTCTCCACCTTCTCTGTTGCTTCCCCTTCTCCGTTGCTCTGTTTCTTCTGATTAATCCCCCGACAAAGACCAGCCTTCTCCCCTGTAACCCCCCTGTCGTTCGAAACCCTCGACCCTGCTAACCCCGTCAACCCCAGTCGAAGACCAGCCTCCTTCTCCCCTGTAACCCCTCGTCAAAGGAAACCCTCCACCCCGCTAACCCCGTCAACCCCAGTCGAAGACCAGCCTCCTTCTCCCCTGTTACCCACCGTCGAAGGGAACCCTCCACCCTACTAACCCCATCAACCCAAGTCGAAGACCGTTGTCGCTGCGCATTCGAAGTTGCGAACCCTCCTCCCCTTCTCAGTCAAAAATGGTGCGAACCCCGCTATCAACCATGGCCGAAAGGTATGTATCCTTTATTTTTGGATTTTTTTTCAGTTTTAGGGTAGCTGATGATGTTTATTTGGAGGGTTAAGCAAAATAATATTGTTTATGAAGTTTTGGAACCCATCTATTGCTTGGATTTTGAACAATATGTATTGTCTGTGTAAGGTTGTTTTTATTTCTGTTGAAGGTCCTATGTATTGTTTGTGTGAAGATAGATTTGTCTAAGTGTTTGTCTGTGTGAGCGTATATGTAATTGGCTCTGGCTCTATTTGCCTGTGAAGACTTATATGATTGTCTGTATTACTCTTTTATATGTCTGTGTGACTAATATGATGTCTGTACTGCTACACAATGCTATAAGACAAAAACAGATGCAAATAAAACATATGTCTATGTGAGTGATTGTTTGTCTGTATGTAACTGAAAGCTTGTCTGTGTAATTTGACATATGTCTGTGTACTTATGGTTTGTTTTCTTACGATGATAGGGCACTTCAACTCCAGATTCCTTTGAGAAAGCATTTCCCTGCACAGTATTCTGTGTGCTCGGATGTGAAATGTGCTTCTAAGTACATTCATGCGATACTATCAAAGAAACAATTGGAAATTTTCCAGCAGACACCATGGGGTCACTTTATTGATATTCCTGATATCCAGTTTTGTGGCCAAATAGTCCACATGTTTTTGTTACGGCTGGTGAAGCAGCAACCCGATGATGAGCTTTGGTTCAATGTTGAGGGTAAACTTATAGAGTTCACGTACAATGACTTCTGCCGCATAATCGGATTACCTCTGGCATCCCCGAGGCCTGTTGTGGCTGAAGATAGTGACAACGATGAAGAACAAGCCGAAGAAGAGGAAGAACCAGGAGAGATTGCAAATACATACTTTCATGGATCACTGGATATCACTTTCCAGATGATGAAGGAGAAGGTTCAATGGTTAGGTGGAAGTATAAAAAAGGAATGGTATGCTAGGGGTGAAGCTTACATCCCTCTTCGTAGTCGAGAACGTGTTGATGGGAAGAGACAGAACAACGAGGATCAACCGGAGGCCGATTCAGCTTGCGAACGACTTTGAGGAGTTCAAGAAGGAACCGTGGTCAAGAGATGCTTACCACTTGCTTGTCACACATCTGAAGGGTCTTCTTGATGGGCAGCCATTGAAGTTCTTGGACAGTAAAGCTAACAACCCTGAATATAAAAACGTCAAGTTTTTGGTTTACGGGTTGCCATTGGTCCTACATGTATGATCCCAGACAGTTTCTGCCCTTCCCATACAACTTTTTAAATGCTCACAAACACTTTATGTCCTTCCGAGACAGCTTTTTAAATGCTCATAGACACTTTTTGTCTTTCCCATACTGCTTATTAAATGCTCACATAGATACATCCCAAACATATTTTTAATCTGTGTCACATAGGTGTGGGCATATGAAAAAATTCCTAAATTTGGGGAACACTTTGGCACACGTGTTGGTAATCATGAAGTCCCAATACTAAATTGGTCATGTCATGGGAAATTCCGGTCATCTAAGATACGGGAAATTGTCTTTGCTGATGTAAGTCTTCTTACTTTGTCAATTATAATTGTCCCCTAATATATATATTTATAATACGAAATCATGTGCATGTTTTCATAGGAGTTGCCTACACCCCCTTCTTCCGATGATGAGGATGAAGACAATATTGAAATTGAAACAAGGGAAAGAGTTCAAGCAATTTGTTCAGACATTGATGAGATCAAAAGCAGTCTTCAAAGGCTGGACAAAAAGTGGAAGAGGAGCTTGGTGAACTGAAACACTTGTTGGTTCAGGTTATTGATACAGTTAACAAGGCTTTAAAGGAAAAGGTATAGACATCATTTGTCTGTGTAGTATTTTGTTGTGTCTGTATTTACTGCATATATGTTTGTATGTAAAATTACTATACGTTTCTCTTGGTTTGTAAGGGGGGTCCTTCTGCCCCAAGTGAGCTGGAAGAACAAAAGGAAGTTGGTGCAACAGATGCTGAAGGGGAGAAAAGTAATGTTGTTATTGGTGAACCACAACATTTGGTATGTTGTTTAACTTGTTTGTGTGCTATTTTTAGTGTCTGTATGTATCAATTTTTTTCCTATATGCACATTTCGTGTTATCTGTGCAAAACTAATAAGTCTCTGTGAAATACCAAATGGTTAGGGTGAACTGGATAAATCTTGTCCTGATGTTACTGAACATCAAAATGTGTGTGCAGATCCTATTATCAATGTTGCTACTGAGGTTTGTTGTTTAATGTGCTTGTAGTGTCTGTAACTACCAATGTTTTGGCTGTATTTATATGTTGTGTTGTTTGTGTGTAAATGTTATATGTCTGTGATGTGTGTAAATGCTTAGCCTGAAGGGGAGAATTCTATTGCTGTTGATAGTGAGGCACAAAATTCGGAAATAGATCCTGTAAAGATTGTAGTGGATGAGGTATGTTTAAGGATACAGTCATACTGCTTGTGATATTTACATTGTTGTTAGTTAAGAAAGATTTTGCATTAATCATTCATAAATGAGGTTTACCTTCACTTCAAAGTTGAAGTTGGAATCTGAGCAATGTATGACAGGCCGCATGTATGAGGAGTGTCACACTCCCACAAATCTTTTGATGTGCCTAAATGAGGTGCACAGACCGATTTCCAAAATGTTTTCATTTACACAGACAGTTCATAGTTCACACAGACAGTACACATGAAGTACACATGCAAATTATAAATGTGTACACCGACATATATTTGTGTGTGTAGGTTGAAGATGACAAGATCCCAGCTTTCACAGTTCCATTCGAAAACTTGGATTGGGATGTGGTTGGTGATGATGTTGGAACTGCTGGGGTAGACATGAAGGCCATTGAAGAGGCGAGTATGAAAGAATTGAGGAAGAGAAAGCGGTTCAAATCTAAGTACATTTGCAGCCCATTCCTTGCGCCGGCGGCTAAGAGGCTTAAGGTTGGAGGAAGTGATGGTGAGTATGATTCTTTCAAGGCATGGGTGGAGGAAAATGATGGTATTGAACCTAGTGTACTTCACCTAGATATTCCATCATCTTACCCAACAAATAGGACATTCTTCTGAGAGCTAATCGATGAAAATGAATGGCTAAGTAGCGAGGTGAGTCATAATAAGAAGTATTTCATTTTACACTATTTTAGTTGAATGCTTTGATTGTGGATTTATTTTTTTGTTTGAAGAATTTGGATGCTTTAGTTCTTCTTTTCCGCAAATCCATAAAGATCGAGACCTATGAACTCATGAGCCCTTTGTTCACGGTAATTCATTAAAACTTTATATTGTGTCTGTGGTTTTGATACGTTTTGTCTGTGCCTTGATACATTAATGTATGTGCTTTCATACTTTCTATTGTAGTCTGTACTTTTGTTTTTGGTCGAGTACCAACTTTTACAGAAGGATGCAGCAGATGACAAACAATGGAAGGGGGACCGATTACTCAAGAAAAAGGATTGGAGTCGGTAAGAGATTAGTCAGTTCAGACTCTCTTTACCGCCCAGTTGATAAGGTACACCGTTTCTTCTCTTCGCCTAGTCCATTTAGAAGTTAGACCTAATAGAGTATACGACTCTTTCTTCTCTTTGATGGAACATGCAAACGGCGGCCATGGTTGACGGATTCCCTTCTTCGTTGAACTAGCGTTTCCACTCTTCTGTGTCCAGCAGTCCAGGTAAAAATATTTTCAGTGTATTATTATAGTTACTTTGTTATATGATAGTTATTGAGTAATTACAATTCTCTTAATCCAAGTGCTTCTTATTTTGATTGTGTAAACGAGTCACTTGAATAAGGAAAATCAGGTTAGATTTGTTGGATGCAATGTGTCAATGGTCGCAGGGCAAAGTTTGAACTCAATTTAGTGAAAAAGGTTGTTAAGCATATATTCCAAATGGTATTCTGTTGACATTTCCCTTGCAGGTTATTAAAATATTTGTTGATTTTTCTTGAGATATGATACTTAATTGAGATAGTTTGATAGGATCTTGGAATGCATTTATGGTGCTTGATAAAATTCCTCAAAGAATTAATTCAAACTTTAACTAGTAATTTATTTCAATTACTTTGTTTTTCTTAAAAAAAGTTGAGAATAATAAGTTTGTCCATTTCTGTATCTTCCATTGATGAAAATATGTGATGACTACCTTCTTGATTGATACTTCATAGTAATGTAGTTTTATTGTTTTAGGAAATTAAATTTTTACTTTGTATTTGCTAAGCATCCTAAAATGATGTTGGAGAATAAACTTATTGTTTTAGTAAATTAATGTTCTATTTTGTGTTAATATGTCATGTTGTACGGGTTTGTCGTTCACTATATGCATGAGCTACAAGCCTACAATATATGCTTTCTGTCTACTCTTCTGCAGTTGATTATGAGATCTGAATTTTCAGCTAGAATTGATTTGTGACACTAAATCTATGTATTTCTATGAGTGCTCTAAATGGCTACCATCTATTTATTTGGATTTTATTACTACATTAATCTGCCAAACGAGTATAGACTTTTTATCCCCTTCCTAATACTTTTCATTCTATTCATTATGCTATTTGGCAGAACCATTCTTCTTGTTTTTCCTGAAAATTTTGAATATCCGCTCAGTATTTGAACGAGAAGATTTGTGGTTGACTTGATTGTATTTGTGAATTCTGATTTTTTTTGCTAAAAAGCATGGTCCGCTGTGTTCTGTCTTTCTCTTTTGTAATAACACAACCTAATATTAGTTAGACATCAAACCAACATGTTTTTCTTTTGCAAAACAAGATTCTTCCTGATATTTTCAATTGTGTTGTCTTAATGGCTTTATTTGAATTTGAACTCCAGGAAAAATATTTGAAAACGTTATGTAGGAGACAATTTTTTCGGAAATAGGTGAAAGAGGGCATGTGGATGGGGCGGTTGATGTTTAGCTTTTAATTGAGGTCATTTTTGTTATTGCATCTTAATTAAGGTCTTGGAAATGTCGCTTGTCCTATTTTAGGAAATAGGATGTATCGTTGGTCCTATTTGTAAAATTTTCCCATTAGATAAATGTACTTACTCCTAATTAGAACAATTTTCCTTACTTAAACAATGATACGCTGATTTGCTTGTCCGATATTTTTAGAAAAAACAAAAAATATCTGAGAATTTTAAGAAATTTCATATGCGACTAGGAGCATATGGTATAAATATGAGTTAATTGTCAAAATAGGACTAAAAGCTTCTCACTTTGCACAAATAGGACCAAAAAGTAAATTATGTTTTGATATGACTAATTATGTGTGTGTTAGACAAATATACCCTTGTTGCTATTGAAATGTTTTAATTCATAAAAAAATAATAAAAATTCGTAAAAATTAATAAAAATTAATAAAAATATTTAAATAATAATAATTAATTTTTTTAAAAAATATTTTTAAAAAAAGTAAAACGCAAAAAAAAACCACCACCACCTCTACCGCCCCAGCACCATCTCCAGTCACTAGTGAAAAAATGCCACATCTATTATGAATGCCATATTAATGGAAGAATCAAGGAAAATTTTGGCATTCTCAAATAGTAATATGCCATTTTTTGGCATTTTCATAAAAAAATGGTAGTTTTTAGAAAAAATGACACTTTTTACACCGGTCGGAGGTGGTGGTGCAGGGAGGCAGTACAAGCGGTGTGAAAGGCATCTAATATAAAAAATTAAAAAATTAAAAAAAATTATTTTTTTAAAAAAACTAAAAAACGCTAAAAAAACACCTCTACCGCCCCAGCACTGACTAATCTCTTAAGAGTGGAAAAGGTTGGTTTGAATAATACGTATCAAAAAGTTAGTTTGATTAATAACTACTTTATTTAATTTAAATTAATTACGTATGAAAAAATTAGTTTGCTTAATAACTACTTTATTTACTTTAATGCAGGTGTTCATGCATGTGCACAGTGATGGAAAACATTTACTGAAATTTACCTACTCAATAATGTCGTATGGGTATACGATTCTTTGAAGACGAGTAAGTCGGTTGCATCTGTGAGGCTTTTGTGTATCCGACTTCCACTCCTGTTTTGGGTCATCAAACGCAACCCTGTCGTTACCTCCATAGCCGATTCACATCCTTCGAGAGCGGAGGCAGTGGACGATGTTCCACAACAACACTCAGGGTACACTCATGTCTGTACACAAATACAATTTGTCTGTGCATAGAAATGTAATGTCTGTATGAATTGTATTATTTTCAGATCCGGTGTTTGTGGAGTTATGGTAGCAGCGTTTGCGGAGGCACTGTTGCAGAAGTTACCCTTGATGCCAGAGTGTGCGTATGAGAACATGGCAGCGAAAAGATGTGAATATGCATTGAGGCTCTGTAGTTTGAGGAAGCGATCAACGTAGACAAGTTTTAATGGGTGTGAATATTTAGTGTAAGATGGTTGTGGATGTAAAATCTTTGATGTAACCTTACTATATACATTTTTTGGTGGTTAGTTTTGGCTTGCATGGGTTTGATTGTTAAATGTAGGAGGTTGTACAATGTTACAATACCAATGTTGTACAATGTCCTAGAATGTACTCCCAAATATTACCAATGTTGTACATTGGTATGCTTTTTTGTTCTATGGGAAACACTAACTGTCATTGGTGTTCATATAAACGGAGAAAGCTTTTTTGTCTGTGATTTATATTCACTTTGTTTGTGCTATGTACACTATAATATCTGTAACAAACACATTGTGTGTCTGTGAAAAACACACACTCTGTCTTTGATGTGTGTTACTTTTGTCTGTGAAGAAAAAACACTCTGCTATACTTAGAATAAAAGACTTTTTGACAAAAATAGACATTATTAAAAAAAATTTAAAGTAGACTATAATATCTGTCACAAACATATTGTGTGTCTGTGAAGAACAAATACTTTGTCTGTGATGTGTGGCGTATTTGTGCAATGTGTCTGTGAAGAACAAACACTTTGTCTCTGCTTTAATACATAAATGTCTGTTTACAAACTACCATGCACATTTACATCAAACTAAGATTTAAATCTAAACCACTACAATTCATCATGTCATTAAGTCCACCTTGTCCATTGCCATCTTGAGAGGTCAGTTGTGGGGTACTTGCATTGTTGGTCCTAGCATTTGATTTCTTCTTCCCCTTCTCCAATGGTCCTTTTTGGCGGTTTTTCCTCGGTGCACCCTTACGCTTTGCACACTTCGGATCTCCGATGATTTTTGGAACCTCACCTTGCACACTAGTGCTCGCTTATGGGATAGATGTAAGGTTGCCACATATGGAAGAAGGATGAACTTGGAGAGGAGTATATGTGGACAATTGAGACTCCAACCAAAGAAGAACACTTTGGTACTTCTCATCATCATCCGCAATCATGTTTGCAAGAGATTCAAATGTCTTGCACAACTTACGAAAGCGTTCTTTTTCCACCGTTGTGATCCACCCATCGTAATTGATTTTCACGTTCGTGTACGCTCTTTTAACATCTTTCCTCCATCTTTTCAATAGGTAGACCTCGGGCAAGAGCTCCAATCCAAGGCAAAGTAAGACCACAATCAAGTTTCTACAAACCGTACCTCTAAATTCGAATAAGTGACAACTACATATTCCAAAAGTAATCAATGGCTCATATTCTACAACAAAGTTAATGGTCTTTCGAAACCCATTAATCTTTCGGACCTCCTTTACATTAAATTTTCTATCACCTTCGCTTTGTAGGAGATCACAATATAATGTACCTACATGTTCATCTTGAAACTCCTTAAACTTCGCTAGGGTGTAAATTTCTTGGACTTGTTCTTCCATTTCAAATGATGTAACACAAGGAATCGTTTTTGCAAACGAACTTTTATCGGCGTGAAATTCTTTTTCTGCCTTACTTCGTAGTGCACGTCCGTATTGTTCAACGAATTGTTTAAGAGTAGTTTTCGAATTCACAAAGTTATCGAAAAAAGCATTGATACTTTCACTTCGTTGAGTGGTAGACATACCCGCCCAGAAGCTTGGCTTTAAGAAACATGGTACCCACCGGTGTCGTTCATTGTACATCACTGCAAGCCATTCATGGTCTTCAAGGGAATACCTGAAATAACATTAAATAATATACATCAATTACATATACTATGTACACCACAGACACTATTGTGTCTGTGGTGTACATTTGTTATGTCTGTGACATACAAATTTCTTTCATACACAGACAATACCTCTCTGGAATGGTCACACAATCTTAGCACATATACAATGTGTTATGTGCCCGCAAACATTAATGTGTCTGTGTGGTACATTGCAAATGTAAGTGCAGTAAAATAAGTCGTCTGTGTCATGATCATACAAATAAGCTCCAGTTCCACAAACATAATACTGTCTGTGTAGTACACATACGTTGTCTGTTATGTGAATATAAACTTAGTTCACAGACAAATTGCTTCTGTAATGTGTCAATTTTTTTATGAAATAAAGGGTACCTTTGTATCATGTCCTTCCACCTTTGCTCAAATTCTGGAACATATTGAGAGTCATAAATCGATTCGTGAATAACATCCAAGATTTCTTTTTTTTTCCTGTAATTCCTCCCATTTTTTCCGGTACCTTTTTCATAATATGCCATAAACACCATTTATGTCTTGTATTTGGGAAAACAATTTGGATGGCGTTTTGCATTACACGGTCTTGGTCCGTAATAATGCCCATTGGAGCATGTCCTTCCATATACTCTAGCCATGCTTTAAAGAGCCATACGAATGTTTGTGTATCATCATTAGAGATTAATCCGCATCCAAGCAAAATTGATTGACCGTGATGATAAACTCCCACAAAAGGTGCAAAAGGCATGTGATAACGATTCGTGAGGTAGGTCGTGTCAAAAGTGATGACATCTCCAAACTCTTTGTACGCATATCTACATCGGTTGTCGGCCCAAAACACATTACGCAATCGAGATTTGTCATCTAAATCAAGGACAAAGAAAATCTGGGGCATTGAGCTTGCATTTTAGCAAAGAACTCTTGAATTGCCATGGCATCACCACTCGCTAACCTAAGTTGTCTTACCTCTTGAATGTAGTTTCTACAATCTTTTTCAATAAAAGGAAGTTGGTCATATCCACCGGCTTCAACAACGGCTGCATTGAAGGTCTTATGAAGTCGTATTCCGGCCACATCGTTGATTGCAATTTGCCTCATTGCTTGGGGAGTTAAAGTCCTATGGCACCGGAATAGGCGAGCCTTCGTTGGGCTCATGGGATGGGTATGATCATGGAAGATTTTTGATATTTCCCAACATCCCTCATAATTTGTGTGTGCTCGTATTCTTGCTCTGCACCCCATTTGCATTGAAGGTTGAGGCTTCAATTGATTTTTTGACCTACTAGATCTACTAGCGGCATGAGAACACTCTAGTAACACTCCAACTATATCCACCCCATTTTGTGTTTGGTGGTACTCCTAGTTCTTACGGTAAACCCTAAACGCTTCCCATATATTTTGTAAAAATCATACACCGTTTCTTTGCTATCAAATTCCATACCAACCTCCGGAGCATTTATAGTCTTATAGAACCAACGTCACTCTCATTTTGCTGAATTTCTCCATCTGACCAACATGCACAGACAAAAGTATATTTAAGTACATAGGCAGTGGTCTATTTACGCACAGACAGAAGTATATATACACACAGACACAATTATATTTACACACAGACATTTCAAATAGAAGTACATGTACTCACAGACATAAGTAAATTTAAAACTTTATTTACACAGACAAAAGTCAATACACTTCACAGTTGTATAATAACACTCAGACAACTGAAACATACACACAGACATATTATACAATTCACATAAACACTACACAAATACAGTCAATTGTCTGTGAAGAACAAACACATATATATTTACTTTAAAGCAAATGAAATCAAATACATAGACGATCAAACATAAAAATGAACTCATACCAAGCTCAGGGACGTCGTCCATGGCGGCGGCCGCCGAGTCGCCGTCAACTTCCGCCGCCACCGGAATTTGTCCTTCAACTCGAGAACCACCGATCGTGTTATCCCAATCGGCCAAAAAGTCATCCACGATAGTATCAATGATGGTTTCGTTCACAATACCACCAAAATCCATTGGTTTGAAGACAAGAACAAAGAAAGCAAGAAGTGGGTGTGCTGCTGCGGGAAACGGGGTTCTGTTGCGGGAAGAAGAAAGAAATTAAGAAGCGGGAAGGGAGGAGGGAGGGTGGGGTTGTTTTGCATGTGTGGTAGGAGAGGGGATAAAAAAGATGGTAATTTTTTAGGCTATTTATAGTGTGTATGTGTGTATGATAAGTGTGTACTCAAAACAAAATTGTTTTAATATTATTACTTCCAATATTAATATCTCTTAGCATAGTTGGGCATTCACATGCTACAGATATTTCAATTCTTCTCACACTCACTCCACACGATTGGTGTTCATCATATGGGGTGACATGTGACAAAACGAATGATCTATCATCATGATAAACATCTCACACAGAAATCAATCTGGTAGCCTACCACACGACTTTTGCGAATTTGCACACCTCCGATTCTTAAAAAAGATGACACCTCATCCCTGAGGATCCCCAACCCCGACTGGACGGTACGTTGAGAGGATGTAAGTTGTACTATAATCTCAATCTGACAGATAGAGAGTGGGGCTCTGTGTACTTGCAGAGGCCCTATGCATTTTTAACATAGTAATCCCTCATCGCAGTTGCCGGGATTCGAACTCGGGACCTAACACTTGTGGCACTCCTTTGCTACCAATTGAGCTATGCCCACCCGTTGCACACCTCAAATTCTTGAACTTAAGTTCAAATCTCTTTTCGGATCCTCTTCCAAAACAGATTGTCTGACTAAAGAAACTTGAGTACCTCGATCTTAGTGGAAATCGTTTTGCTGGGGAAATCCCTCGCACCTACGGCAGATTCTCCGAGCATAAGCTTTTGAGCTTGACTGTAAATTCCCTATCTGGTCGATTTCCTTTGACCATTAGTTTTTTGAAAGAATTTCAAGATTTGTTTTTGGGAGGAAATGTGAACACTGGTAGAATTCCATACCAGCTTGGGTATTTATCCGAATTGGTAAATCTTAAAAGTAATAATGCAAACCTTTCTTGTAAGATGCCTGCCTCGACTAGTCAACCATCCTAAACGTAAGCTTATGGATTTATCTAACAATAAACTCTCTGAAAAAGTTCCTAATACGTGGTCGAAGTTGAACAACAATGACTTTATGGGTGAAGTTCCAAAATGTTTGGAGAGTTTTAGTCATCTTGAGCAATTGGCATTATTGAATAACTCTTTTGCAGAGGTTTTGCCATATAGGTTAGGATCCAATGGCAAGTTAAGTCGCTTGGGAGTTCTTATTATCATCAATCATCATATAATCAATAATTAATACTCCACAACTAAAACAACAATTAGCATATAAACATTAATATAATTTTGAGAATGCGGTCTAGCTCAGGTGGTCACTGACTCACTCTCTCATATGGAAGGTTCTGAGTTGAATACTCAATAAAGTGAATTTGATCTCAGTTTACCTCTGGCCAATTTTGGCGGTTCCCGATGGATTTTTTTGATGAAATTTTTTTAGCATCGTCTTCATTAAGTCTAGTTTACCCATACCAAATATCAGCTAAAAATTCAATCGGGAAGGCAGTCAAAAGATTTTTTGAAGATAACTGCGCAGTTAAACATCGCAGTACATTTCGGAAAATCATTTGACTGCCTTCCCGATTTATTGTTTAGCTGAAATTTGATTTGGGTAAACTAGACTTAATTTAAAAGATTTTCACACGGGAAATGACACGGGAACCGTCCCAATTGGCGACGGCCGGACAGAACCTCCTAAATAAGGGGCTAATTGCACACTTTAAGTTAGTTCATGTACCTATTTGACCCTTTAGCCTTTTTTTTGATGAATTTTTTTGAGAATCTTCTTCATTAAATCTAGTTTACTCATTAAATCTAGTTTACTCATACCAACACTTCATTTTTTTGAGAATTTCAGGTAAAAATGCGATCCGGAAGGCAGTAAAATAAGTGTTTGAGGATAACTACACAGTTAAACAACACAATATATTTCAGAAAATCATTTGACTACCTTTCCGGTTGAATTTTTAACTAAAATTTGGTATGAGTAAACTAGACTCAATGAAGAACATGCTAAAAAAAATTCATCAAAAAAATCCACCGGGAAACCTCCCGAATGACGACAGCCGAACATCCTATAAAAGAGGTGATTTGCACTTTTTCGATTAGTTCGAATGTTACAAACCTGTACTACATTTCACCTACTGTGTATCTCAATTAGAAATCGAAAAGACCACCTTAATTTTGTGTACTTCATTGATTGATGGTGATGATTCGAATAATTCCATTCATTCTTCTAAAAGGTTGAGTCTTCAACCTAGGACTCCTCATGCCTCGATCCGATAAGACTTTTGGGAGATTGTAAATCACGGTGACTTAGTCGGTCAATGATTGTAGACCTTGTATCCGTGCGCATCAGAGTTCCATGAGCTGTAACCTCCACACGACCCACTATGAATTCGATCTTTGATCATTATTCTAAATTTCGTACCACTCAATCAACTGAACTACCCGTGCGGGTAATTCAAATAATTCCAAATTATAGCACAATGCATCTACGCTACTTGCAATATAATTTCTCTCGCAAATGTGGTAATGATGAGCTGTACGCAATTTACGACTTACAACCTATTTACCACATATACTTGATTGACGAAGCAAATAAATATAAGAAAACTACGTGTTTCGAAAAACAAAGAAAATAATTAATAAAAATTAATTAATTAAATGGGTAAAGAAAACATAAATTAGATTGTCCTTAAAATGTATTCGTCGTCTCCTACGGTGGTAGGAGCGTTGCAACGACCGTTTCTCAGGATACGGTGAGTAACGAACTAACGTTTGAGCACACAAACGAAAGTTCCGGCGAACGGGAAGTGTTTTTAGAGAAAAAACTAGGTGCAGATTGCTTGTGAATGTGTTCTGTTCGGAAGCCACCAGAATACCTAGAACTAAGGTCTTCTGTTGCGTAGATCAAAAGAGCTCCACACACGTCTTCTGTCCGAGCAGTTCTGCAACTAAGCACTGCTGATTTTGGGAAAAACTAAAACGTTACAGGAAGAGACAAAAATTAAATCGTATCTTTGAATGATAAATTTTCGGACAACATTCGTGTCTGCAGGTCGCCCGCGCACGAGTCACGGTTATTTTTCTCCAATTTCGGGATTTGATCGGCATCCCCCTGCGCGCGAAGAGAGTCTTTCCCCGTAAGAATCTTAACTCCTTCAAAGAGGGTCCCCTTTATAAGGGGGTGAAAATCCCTTGGGTTTTACGGTGTGGGATAAATCCCACTAGAACCTCATCATTTTCCCAGTTTTTCCATTTTAACGAGTGAACTTCGAGAATCAATTTCTCATTCACCTGTTATCCGTTTTGAGTGTACCATATATCGAATTGTAGCCCTTAGCAAGGACAATCCGAAACCATTTTGACACGACCCAAATTGGAAGTGGATCCCCCCGAAAATATTGCCCTAAATTGACAATTTAATGCAATTTTTTAAATATTTTTCCAACAAAAACCACCAATCTAAAAATTGTTCTGAGTGCCTGATTACTTATTAGTCACCGCCTAGGCGTTACGCGATGGTCGGGCACCCCTATTTTTATCTAAACGTCCGATTAATTAGTTTAGCGTCTAGGTGAATTAGTCGGCCGTTTAGGGCATCTAGTTACTCATCTAGAGCGCTTAATCGGCCGCCTAAGGCCTCCGGATTCGGCCGAACATTTTTTTGCCTTCTATTTTTATTATTTTAAGAGATATATGTATCTTTAACTTTACTTATAAATTAAGATAAAAGTTATATATGTTTGTATATATACTGAAATTTTATATTATTTAATATTTATAACATAATGAAGTTAAGTGATTAGTTATCATATATTATTAAATGTGAAATTTTACCATTCATGCATGTTAACATTTTTTACACACGCAAACACAATATAACTTACCATATTTATACAAAATATGGATAAAACTACAATTTATGTGTCTGTGACTAATCTCCGTCTAGCCGCTTAGGCGCTGGACTGGCGGCCGACTAGGGCCATATCCTTCTTCCAAAAATAGGGCCATATGTTTGGTTTTTTCTAAACACGACTAATCATTCCATTTTCCCCCTAATTTATCTAATTAATTGATTAATTTAACTAATTGCTCCGATCCCCTAGTTCTCTTGCGGGCATAACCAAGACAGCCCGTGGTGGCGGCAGCGGACGCCGGCGGATTCCTGAGGCGTCGAAATTTCTGGCATATCGTGGGATAATTTCTAGGATATAAAATCCAGGAGGGCGTGGTCTAGCAACTTGGAGGCAAAAGTGCTCAATTTAAACTATTTGGTCTAATCACAAATAAAAAGTCATATTTGAGGTACTTTAAACTATTTGGTCCCATTTAAAAAAAATGGTTTTTAGTGGTAAATCTCCCAATAAATGTATCATAAATATTCCCTTATCAATTTTTTTAGGATATTTATATAGAAATTATTCTAAATAGGACTAAAACTATATCAACAACCCAAAATAGGACTTGTTATGTTTTTATTCCAAGATAGAATCATATCACTCCTATTGGAAACATACCTATATTTTCATTCCATTCTTACCCCTCCTTTAAATGTGATTAAAAGGTAATCAAAAGTCATAATTTAATGTTTAATTCATAATAAACCCGATTTTTTTTTAAAAAATCGTAGAAATATAATAAAGAATTAATAAAATATTTATAAATATTTATAAAATAAAAAACTAATTTTTATTTTAAAATAAAAAAATAAAAAATAGTAAAACTCAATAAAAAAAGAGTAAAAATGCCAATTTTTCTGAAAATTCCAAAGAAATGGCATATTACTCTTTGAGAATGCAAATTTTTTTATTGAATCTGCCATAAATATGGCATTCCTAAAGCATGTGGAATCCCCCCCCCCCCCATTACCGGAGATGGTGGTGCTAGGGCGGTAGAGGTGTTTTTTTAGCGTTTTTTAGTTTTTTAAAAAAAAATAATTTTTTTTTTAATTTTTTATATTAGATGCCTTTCACACCGCTTGTACTGCCTCCCTGCACCACCACCTCCGACCGGTGTAAAAAGTGTCATTTTTTCTAAAAACTACCATTTTTTATGAAAATGCAAAAAATGGCATATTACTATTTGAGAATGCCAAAATTTTCCTTGATTCTTCCATTAATATGGCATTCATAATAGATGTGGCATTTTTTCGCTAGTGACTGGAGATGGTGGTGCTGGGGCGGTAGAGGCGGTGGTGGTTTTTTTTGCGTTTTACTTTTTTTTAAAATATTTTTTTTAAAAAATTAATTATTATTATTTAAATATTTTTATTAATTTTTATTAATTTTTACGAATTTTTATTATTTTTTTATGAATTAAAACATTTCAATAGCAACAAAGGTATATTTGTCTAACACACATAATTAGTCATATCAAAACATAATTTACTTTTTGGTCCTATTTGTGCAAAGTGAGAAGCTTTTAGTCCTATTTTGACAATTAACTCATATTTATACCATATGCTCCTAGTCGCATATGAAATTTCTTAAAATTCTCAGATATTTTTTGTTTTTTCTAAAAATATCGGACAAGCAAATCAACGTATCATTGTTTAAGTAAGGAAAATTGTTCTAATTAGGAGTAAGTACATTTATCTAATGGGAAAATTTTACAAAGAGGACCAACGATACATCCTATTTCCTAAAATAGGACAAGCGACATTTCCAAGACCTTAATTAAGATGCAATGACAAAAATGACCTCAATTAAAAGCTAAACATCAACCGCCCCATCCACATGCCCTCTTTCACCTATTTCCGAAAAAATTGTCTCCTACATAACGTTTTCAAATATTTTTCCTGGAGTTCAAATTCAAATAAAGCCATTAAGACAACACAATTGAAAATATCAGGAAGAATCTTGTTTTGCAAAAGAAAAACATATTGGTTTGATGTCTAACTAATATTAGGTTGTGTTATTACAAAAGAGAAAGACAGAACACAGCGGACCATGCTTTTTAGCAAAAAAAATCAGAACTCACAAATACAATCAAGTCAACCACAAATCTTCTCGTTCAAATACTGAGCGGATATTCAAAATTTTCAGGAAAAACAAG